CCCCCACCTTTGCTTCCACCATAGTACCCACTCTACTAACAAAGTTCCCCCAGCTCTCAGAACCCTACCAGAGGCTGCCCACTTTTACCACTTCCAGCACCCCCTACACTCTGGCAGTTTTCCCTTCTCTTACAACTGCCTCTAGTGCTCCATACACTCTGGCAGCCCAATTTCACGCCCCCACTCAAAACAATCTACCTACACAGCACCCCAACTGCTCTCCTCACTCTCCCTTCTCACTACTAAGCCAGCAACACCCAACCACCATTACACCTGCACACCCCATCACACCTGCATACAAACCCCCTTCTCCCACCACACACTCACAACTGCATGTGTATTGCCTGACCAAAAGGGGATATTTACTTGTGTAAGTTTTGGCTGGACAACGCAAACTCTCAATACAGCCCTTGCTTACTTTCATTTTATAATGGCAATGCAACAGTTATTGCAACAGTAATTCACATTCAGTATTTTATGTCATCATTAAAGTTATAACATAATGAAAGGATGCATGATACATACAGTATATAGTGTATGTAACAAGGGGAAGGAGGAGAAGGAAGCACCACAGTCAGTTACAATTGCACAACACATTCTTGATGACCCTCTCTCTCATGAGTATAAATGAGGAAGAGAAGGTTGGTTAATAAAAATTTAGAACTTGTATACCCAATGTTCCAATGTTCTAAAATGAGAACATTGCATGTCTTCCTAACTTATGTCGTTCCCTCTATGATGCCTGAGGAACAAATGTAATTGTTGTCCTCACGGCGTCTCTAACCATCTACCAAAGAGAGTGTTCAGTGCCAGGGGAACCCAGGATATCATCCCTCAGAGTATCATCCCCTATTGAAGAAGGCTATTGTGAAAAGGTTGGTAAAGCGATACAGCAGCAATCAGAAAATGGATCCAGGCACTATGACAGAGTTGACACTATGACACTACTACAGTTACTTTAAAAAAAAAAAGAAGGTGGGAAATTCTTTGTCCAAGACTGAAATGATGGCCACTGTATATCACCATTTGTATTTAACTGAAAAAATGCATAATGTAAATAACTGATCTGCCCCACATTTGGCTCTTCTGTGAGTAATAGGTGAGAATATACCTGTTACGCGAAGACTGTTATTTAAATACACTGCCTATAAATATATTGCTTAAAAAAAAAAAAACTTGGCATGGCCAAATATTTGTTGTGTCTGAGTAAAAGTCAGGTCATAATGTTAGACAAGGAAGGAGACTGACAGCAAACCTACCTGGCATGAGTCACCTGTGTATTCTGGTGGGCAGGCACATATCTCTACACTGTGTGCTGCACGCCCACTTCCTGAGATGGTGACATCCTCAAGTCCAACCTCTCCAAGGGTGAGGCGCTGAGTCTCAGTGAAGTACAAGGCTCGGATGTTTAAGCTTTCCAGTCTGGACAAGATCATCATGAGCTCCTCTCGAGACACTAAGCTGTTGCTGCTTGCATGTCGGAAGTTCCCCTGATTTATAACAAGAGAGTACAATAAAATAATTTCAGTAATGGCATCCTGTGTATTTATTGAGGCAGAAATTAGACTGAAACAGAAATTATTTTTAATATAGCATGAACCCTATATGACAGCAAATTGCATAGTAAGTGAATATTTAGGTTATACGTAAAGATATATATATATACATACAGGATATATACACATACATACATAGATGCGGATGTGCCTGCAGGAGTGGCAGTGCTGGTGGAGGGAGGGAGCGGTGCCGCCCGACCTGGCCCAGTAATAATATTATTTGTTTCCCCTCTATCGAATCAGCCACTGGCCCTGCCGGCGGCGCCTAGGGCACATGCCCCACTAGCTTCAGCACTGCCCCCAACCACCCCCGTGCCTCCCCTTCCCTTACGCTGTGCCAATATTACCTGGCTTCTCCCCACTTCGTCTGTGTCCCGCAGCCTGCTCTGTCCGAGTACTGACGAGATGCCCCGCCTCCTGCAGAGCCTGCACTGTACTGAGAGCCGCGCATTCCTTGTGACAGCCGCTGCTTGAGTCAGTGAGAGGCAGCCCCGGAGCCTCCATGCCGCTTCAATGACAGCCCAGCCTGCACAGCATCAGAGGGGCCCGGGGGGACCACCAACATTTTCAGCGGTTGGCGACCGCTGATCTAAGATGTACTGAGAAAATGTCTGTTTTTTTAAAACTTTACTTTATGTAAAACCTGACCAGATAATGAAGTGTTCATAGAGAAGGGATGAGGTAGATTCCCAATAGCCCTATACTTATTTGCCTGAGCTGCACTCTTTTACCACCATCTCTGTTTGGCCAAGCTAAGCGTTCATGTGGTCAGTAGGGATGTGTTGAGTGGAGCCACAGTGCTCAAAGAGCTGCTTAGGTAAAACTGGCTTGAAAAAAAGTCCTACCTGTGTTTTTTGGAGGATGTACTTAAGGTAGATATGGGTCTAATCACTAAGCTGCCGTAGGCAGCCGAGTGAACGACCGATCTGAAGCGAAGTGAGCCGAACGCTGTTCGGCTATTCACTTCAGGCTGGTACGGCTGATTCCAACCATATATCGGCTGAAATCAGCCGTACATCGGGTGGCTTCGGGTCGGCCGAACATGCTCAGCATGTTCGGCC